CCCCCCATACTTACTGGCACAGAGCCCGAGTCCAGCTCCTTGTGGCAGTGAGCAGGGACTGCCTGAATCTCCAAATCTTTTCCAGATTGATTTTGAGGCTTTGAATTGATTCAGACCTTTTTATTGGTCTCCTGATTCAATTCGGATTCAGAGATTCGGCCACCTAATCAGGCTGAATCTCCTCCAAATTAATCAGCAACCCAAGCTTCACACAGCCCTAATAGGCAGGCAAGGTTCTTTGAGTAGATGTGATATCTTTTATTAGACTAACTAAGACTCAGTTGGTCAAGTAAAAGATACCTGATCTACCCTTTAGTACTCTTCAGTAATTTCTATGTCTCTGTGACAGGATAAGGGCCCAGGGATGGCTGTGATGCCCCCTGGTGCACTCAACCTCTGCACTGACTCCAACTTCCTGGAGTATCCTCCCTTTCAACCTTTCCTGCCATACCTTGATGTGTTATTTATAAGGCTTTGGGAGGTTGCCCCCAGGGCCCTCAAGTGAGCCCAGTCTAGCTCCACCTTGCTCCTGGGGCGTTATGCTATGGCCCTCCTGGCACTGTTTGTGCCTCTGGGCACACCACTTGCCTTTATTGGCTATTCATTGCCTCCTTCCACTCCTGTAGCCATGTCCATGCCTCACAAATGTTACTTTAAATTATCTACTGGGCTGTCTGGCCCATCCACCACTCTAGTCAGCCTGCAAGATTCTCTTTTTTCTCTAGGCTGATTATGTTGTGCAGGACAGATTTACTTAAGCACATAATACTGAGTTAAATAGTCTATAGTAAAGTAGTGCAATGAGATAAACTTTTTTTTGTGGTATTATTAATTTAAGAACATTTAATTTATAAAGTCTAAGGGAATAATTAGCCTTTTTAGGGTTTTTTAATTTGTATGCACTGCTTACTGCATTCTTTTCAAGCAGAGTAGTCAAGTGCAACATAAAATCCAGCTTGATATAGGAGAGACAGAAGAGAGAAATTGAATTTACAGATATAATACAAGTTTGAATAGTGCCTTGAGTCAGATCCTAAACTGTTAAAAATTACTGTTGCATCATTGGCTTCCATAGTGGTATACTGATTTACTCACTGGAAAATTTGACCCTTGATTTAAAAGATGTAAAGTTCAATCTTTCTGATGTGTTTTTTTTAAAGATGAACCTTTCAAATTAAATGTGAGGGTGGATAAAGATTCATTAATATGTTCCACTTGGGAGATCTTATTTAATAAAGATTCCATAATGTTCATTTGGTATCCTTATTCAAATAGAAGCTCTTCTTATGCAGTGCTTCCCCAATGATGCTTTAGAGCAGTGGTTCTCAACCTTTTGTGTACCAGGACCCATTTCTAAACATGTGGCCAGTTCCAAACCAGTATATAGTTTTAGTAGAAAACACACAAGTATACTTGTCCCCTTACCTATGAGGAACTGTGGCAGCTGCTTTCTTTGCTGCCTGTGGTGCATGTTTGTGTGCACACATGCACGTGGTACCCTTTCCCTGATCACCCTCCTTCTGCTTCTCCCAGCCTCAAAGAGCCCCTTTCAGGCTGGAACTCTGCCAGCCTGCAAGGGGAAACCCACAGTTTGCCACATTTTTCTCCTTTAAGGGAGAAAAGGAGAAAATTAAAGGAGAAAATCCACTATTTTCCATGTTTTTCTGCAATTGTTCATGATACTTTCATATATTCTTATTACCCACTTTTGGGTCGTAACCCATGGGTTGAAAAACAGGGCTTTAGAAAAGAGGTTAAACAATCTTGCTAGAGGAGAGGCTGAACAACCTCCCATGGGCTGGAGCTTGTGACTTGGCCTTCTTCAGTTCTTGGAGGGTATGCCCCCAGCTTGCATATTGTTTAGGACTTTTCTGAGAGAAGAAGCACAGAACATTCCTGTCTTCTGAGGCCAAAGCATTATTTAGCATGTTTCTTGTTTGTGCAACCTTATTCACTCTAGTCAGGGGAAAAAATGTAATTTGAAATATAGATCACATTGAAGGTACCCTTGCCCTATTATTATTTGAAAATAAGCATGGAAAATATTTACATACAGTGGTGATTATTCCTAAAAGTATGTCTGTAAGATCTGGGATTATTTAACCAGGAAAAGAGAAGACTTGAGGGGAGGGGGGAGATTTGACAAGTGTTCAAATACATTAAAGATTATTATAAAGGAAAGGGTGATAATTACACTCTGGCTGCATCCACGTGAGCGTGAAATTTTTGTTTCCCTGGGGACAAGTAGCAGTGGCACATCTTGTTGCAGACAGGTCTGTGGCACCACATGCTGAATGTCTGCGCTCATTTGAATGCAGCCTGTGTGTCCACAGTGGACAAGACAAGAAGTATTGGTCTTAAATTTGAACAAGAAAAAATTAGGGTGGATACTAGAAATAATGAAGTATGAGAATGATTAAACACTGGAAAAGACTACTTAGCAAGGTTGTACAATCTTCATCACCAGAGGCTTCTTAAGAACAGGTTAGACAAATGCTTGGTTGGGTGGAGTTAGCCAGGGATCACCCTGCCCTGAGAAGGGGGTTGGAATAAAAAGAAGAAAAAAAAGTCTTTCCACTTTTTCAGCTCTCAGTTGACTTACCTTAAATTATTTTGCAAACATTTTTCAAATAGCGTATTTACTAAGAATTCCACAATAGCTGTGCCTTGAGCCTGAAGCATGGGCAGTATGCCACTGTTGCTCCTGGAGCAGTCTAGGCTTCCAGTGTCAGAATTTTCCATCTTGGTACTCCCTCAAAGCACTCTAGGGACTTGTATGCCAGTGCAGAGTTGCTTACAGGCTGTGGGCTTCATTTTGCCATTGGAGGAGGTGGAGTCTTTAAATAAAATTTTGTTGGTATCAAAGAACTTTTTACTGTGTTCTGGTAAGGTGAATATTAATCGGATATAGATCACTCAGGGGATTAATAATAGAATGTGGGGTGTTTCACCACCTTCTCGACACCCTTGAACTTAGGGGCTGATCCAATAAGTAAGGATACTTGTTCAAAACAGACTCAAATGACCTGGAGATAGTGTCACAAGTAGTCTCAGATCATCTTTGGAAAACAAACAATTGCTTTTTTAAATTTCTGGTTGGAATGTTGATATTAAATGGGCACTTTCCTTGAAGCTCTCAGCATAAAGGGCATAACAACTGAAATGTCCCCTTGTCCCTAAGAAATCACTTTAGAATGTGGCTAAAGCATTTTATTAGTATAGCCCATAGAAGTAGTCTTTTTGAATAACTGTCATTTTAAAACTTGTTGTTATTTCAAAGGAGACTACTAAGTAAGTAATTTAGCAGGTGTGGAATTTCGCACACATTATGCATGGGACTAAGGCAAAAGCAGGCAATGTTCTGTCCTTTACTAGGCACATGGTTAAGATTTTCTATTTCTGTTTTGAGATCTACACTTAGAAATAGGAGATCCTTATTGTTATTATTAGAAAGTGATCCATCTTTCCATTTAGACTGTAACTCCCTGTTGTAGAAAGTCCTAAAATAAAGACATTAAAATGACATAATTGTATATAGAAATCTATATTGGGTCATTTTAAATGTTTGTATAAGATCAATTTTTCTTTTCTCTAAAAGTTCCCTTTGGTTAGATGCATGCTGTTGAGGAAGCCCCACTTTAAAGGTAAAGGTTATAAAAATGAATGCTGAATAAACCAGGGGTGGGCAGAATCTGGCCCATGGGCCAGATTGGACCTGTGGTGGACTGCATTTCCCAGCAGTCCCTGCGCACATTGCTGCGGCTGGTTTCCATGGAGACCCCAGCAGTGGTGGGGCCGTGGCAGTAGGGGGCCAAGGTTTCCATGGAGACTGGCCCCAGCAGTGCTGGCAGGGCACGCAGTTAGGCGGGGAGGTGCTCTGAGGCCAAAATCTTATGGCATGGTCTGGGTAGGGGTGTGCAGGCAGTGGATCACATCTCTGTCCTGGCTTTGGACCAGGATGTCACTGCTGCAAGATCCCAGCCCCAGAGCAGCTTTTCCATCCAGCCGCATGCCCTGCCAGCACTGCTGGGGCCCATCTCCATGGAAACCCTGGTCCTGAGCTGTCATTACCCACCGCTTCTGGGGTCTTCATAGAAACCAGCCACAGCAACATGGGCAGGGGCTGCTGGGAAATGGAGTCTGGCCACTGCCTGGATCCACCATTTTGCCCACCCCTGGAATAAACCCTTACAAGAACGGAATAGGTTCTACATTTTTCCCCTATTTTATATTGCGGAGAATAAAGTTGATGTCAGCATTTATTTTTTCATGAATATTAAGCACGGTTCAGTTTACCTGCTTAGATTGAATCCAAAATAAGCTGTTGGGAAGAGCAAACTGGAACAAAAGAAACAAACAAAAACCTATGGGATAAATGCCATTAAAAAACTAAGAGACCAATAGTTTGGCTGTTCATTCCCAGTTTCCAGCCTAAAATTACACAACTCTTTTACCATAAGCTGGCTTCTATTGTTTTAACCCTTTTCTCCAAAACCTTTGTTTTAAAAATGACTTAAAATAAAAGTTTTATTTAATGCTTGTCATAGACCTCAGGAAAGAAGCTTCTTTCAGGTTCCAAATACAATTGGGTCTGTTGTATTAATACTGGAAGGGAGAAACAGCATTGCTGCAGTAAATCCACTTTTTCTGTTGACTGAGGAGTTTTGATGAGGGATCTATTTCCTGTTTGATATCACTACTCCATATGAATTCAGCCTATTATTTTCTACTAGGTGGTAACAGATACATTAATGATTAACTATTCTGTGTTTTGATTTTTAAAGTGTTTCCTTGGGCAAATGCTTCCTAGTAAGAAAAATCTAATCTTTATTTCTTCCTTTTGTAAATTCTTATCCATTCAGTGGAACAAGTTCCTGTGGAGTCATACTATATTCCGCTGTCTCAAGCTGAGGTGCTGCAGGAGGGAAGTGATGTTACTATGGTTGCCTGGGGGACTCAGGTCAGTAAGACTTGTATAAGATACTTATGGAGCCTATCGCCTGCTGTGAAAATGTACTAATGAAATGTGACTTATCAGGAAAATGAAACGAGCCTAAAATAGCATCACTGAAATAAAAGTAGCTATTTATAGCATGGTAAAAGACACTTGCTCTACCCTAGTTGGTGCGCTTTGTTTGTTTCTTTTGGATCTTTGGGGGTTCTTGGTCCACCTCTGAAATTTTTGAGAACTAGCGTTTCAAGTTTCTCTAGGTAACTTAAAACTTTTACTAGATAGAACACCTACATGCCTAGGAAAAAAATGCAGAATACTAGAACTCTTGGTTCAGAGATGCTACCTTTTATTGGACCAACTAAGAAGTTGCAAAAAAGTATCTTTTTCTGCAAGCTTTCGGGCACATGTGCCCTTCCTCAGGCTTAGGGAAAATTAAAGATGGTACAAAGTCCCCATAGGTAGAAAATAAACTTCATTTTTGCACAGAGGAAGCTGAAGGTGGAAGTCTGTTCCTCTGGGTCCATGAGAGTACCTTTGTGAGTTGCTTTTTGATGTGCAGATCAGGCAGGATTCCTTCCCTGGTGGTGGTCAGGTGGCAGAAAGGCAGGGAGGTGTAGAAATCTTTCTTGTCCTTCAGCAATTAAGTTTATTTCCAAAACTGGCTAAAATTCAGCCTAGGGTAATTTCTAAGGTGCCTGCAATGTTCACAATTGTTTTCCATAACCTTTGTAAAACTAAAAAATGTGGAAAACTCTTTTAAAGCTTGGGAAAAAAATAAATTACTACCCCTCAACACACATATGTACTATATATTTTCTCATATAACACACACCCAACTAAAACATGTGCCTTATTTTTGGAAGGGGGCAGAATGTAGAGAGAGAGAGATTTTTCTCGAGTCATGGCTGAGTGGGACATAGAGTGAGTCTTTCTGGAAACAGAGTGTGTCCAGAAAGTGTGGCATCTAGAACTTCCTGGTGTGGCAGACTGTCTCCTGTGATGCCACACTTCCTGCACACTGTGGGCACTTGCACACATGCAGGGAGACTGCTTGTACGTGCTGTAATTCCAGCTCATTGGAGCAGACTCAATTAATTGTCAGTCTGCGGGGTCCATCACAATTCAACTGAGTCTGCTGGAGCGTGGAAATGACTGCACTCCAACAGACTCCAGCATCATGTGTATCAGCATCCCCACACTGAAAAATGGTGGCAGGGTGCATTTGACTAGCTTTAGTTCAAAGTGCCCGCTACCATTTTTCAGCGTAGGGATGCTGATGCATATGACGCTCCAGGCTCTTTTAATTAAAGCGCTGCTTCCCTCCCCTGCATCCTGGAGTACATCTATAAATGCCCTACATTTCCAGGAGGACTTACTCTGTATCCCACAAGGTGAGGCCCCAGACCCTTGCACAGGGCAGTAGAAAAATTGTTCCTTCTTTACTGTAAGTAGTTCCTATATAAGTTATTTCATAGACATTAGGTCTGGAAGGGACCTTGGAAGATCGAGTCCAGCCCCCTGCCCGCAGAACAGGAAGTCAGCTGGGGTCATAGGATCCCAGCAAGATAAGCATCCAATTTACTCTTGAAGGTGTTCAATGTAGGTGCTTGAGCCACCTCCGATGGCAGGCTATTCCAGACCTTGGGGGCTCGGACAGTAAAGAAATTCTTCCTTACGTCCAGCCTGAAATGGTCTTGCAGGAGTTTATAACCATTCGACCTCGTCATCCCTTGGGGCGCTCTGGTGAACAAACGTTCCCCCAGATACCGGTGGTCACCCCTGATAAACTTATAGGTGGCCATCAGATCACCCCTGAACCTGCACTTTTCCAGGCTAAAGAGCCTCATAGATCTCAGCCTGTCATCGTAAGGTCTGTTTTTCTGACCTCTGATCATGCGCGTGGCTCTTCTCTGGACTCTCTCAAGCTTCTCCACATCCTTTTTGAATTGTGGGGCTCAAAACTGGACACAGTGCTCCAGCTGCGGCCTCACCAAGGGATTTGCTTGAGAAGCATCTATGGATGCAAGTCAGCGTTTTGGTCGCTTTACTAGCCGCAGCATCGCATTGCAGGCTCATGTTCATCTTGTGGTCAATGATGACCCCCAAGTCTTTTTCTTCTGTAGTGCTAGCCAGCTTAGCACTGCCAAACCTATAAGGATGCTGCAGGTTTTTCCTCCCAAGGTGGAAAACCTTGCATTTTTCAGTGTTAAACACCATCAGGTTCTCGTCCGCCCATTTGCTGAGTCTGTCCAGGTCAGCCTGGATCGTGCTCCTGTCTTCTGGTGTGGATGCTTTGCCCCAAAGTTTGGTGTAATTGATGAACTTGGCCAGTCTGCTTCTGACTCCAGTGTCCACATCATTAATGAAGATGTTGAACAGTATGGGTCCAAGGACAGAGCCTTGGGGGACCCCACTGGTCACAGGGCACCATGATGATTGACTTCCGTCAATTACTACCCTTTGGGTCCTACCACGGAGCAAATTTTCCAGCCAGCGGATCGTGGTGGACCCAAGGCCACAATTGGCCAGTTTTGGCAAGAGGTGATCATGGGATACCAGATTGAAGGCTTTTTTGAAGTCAAGATATATGACATCAATCTCTTCCCCCTTGTCCAGGTGATAGGTCTCCTGGTCATAGAAGGAAATGAGATCGGTCAAGTAAGACCTACCCGCAACAAACCTGTGCTGGCTATCCCTCAGGATGTTGGTGTCGGCCAGTCCATTAAGGATGGCCTCTTTAATAAACTTTCCTAAGATCTTGCCTGGGATAGAAGTCAGGCTGATGGGCCTAAAAATAAAGTCTTGTTTTCACATCACAACCCTCATCAAGATGCTACCAGCAGCTCACTAGCTGCTTTGGGCACAAACTGTAGTGCTCAGCCAATAGCTGTGGCTATGACAGAGTTAATGTAATACTCCACCCATTCATTTTGTTGAGCAGATAGAAGTGATAGCCTTCTAGGAAGCTGCATGGCATGCACTCTGTCTCCAGGAGTACTCCTTTTCTAGTGAAGAAAACAGCTTCCTCACTTAAAATATGCACTGCAGTTTTGGGAGGGCTGATTTTGGTGGAAAAGATGAACATTGATTGTGAAAAAATATGATACGTGCATATACACACAAGCATGTACTTCAGTGTTCTCAGACTGATGTGGTTGCTTGGGAAACAGTGTTTAATGTCTTTTGACCCTGAGCTCTTTACAAAGAATATTCATAACTTGAAATACAAAATTTGTATTTTGATCAGTATCTGCTCATATACTTTCACTTGAGAGAAGAAGTATAGGAGGACAGCCAGTATTTTCATCATCTCTTGTGTCCCTGGGAAAGGTTCCAGGAGAGGATGGCATAATTTCCATCACTAAAATACAGTATTAGTTCAGTCTGCTTCTCTTTAGGGAAACTGTGATCTCTATAGCTCTACACAATGGTGTTTTGTATTCTCTTGGCATGCATGATAATATCTAATAGCCCCGTTATGACACTGTATTGGAAGAAAATCAAAGCTGCCTTCATGCTTTTGACCATATTTTTATGTTCATCAACATGATAAGATTGCTTTATTTCTCTCTGGAACAGGAGAAATATATTCCCTTTCTAGACTGCTAGGTAAAAAATTTCTCTGAGGTAAAATAGACAAAGCCTAGTAATACTCTGTTTAAATCAAAAACTGTGTATTGACAACGTTCACAGTGCTGTGACATTGGAAATAAAAGGTAAGGAAAAGGTTGCTTATAGCAATACCTTGAAAGGTACCTCTCAGGATTAGAGTAATAAACACTTCAGATATTCTTGCTGTATAATATTGTGGAGAGCAGCTGGTCTTTGACAGCGTGTCTGAACTTTTAAGAGTAGCATCTCCGTTGAGCCTTCCAGAATGCAGTCCAAATAGAGAGCCTGAAAGCTCTGAATAATTAATAATAATAATAATAATAATAATATATAATTTTCTTTAACGCTCTGGATATTCAGAAGTGCTTTGCAAACTTCCACTAATCTGCATAACACCTCGTGAAGGAGGTAGGTAAGTACGCATCTTTATTTACACATAAGAAAACAGAGAGGCCATAGTGTGCAAAATATGATTATTTCACTTTTGAAACATCACCAGAGACCTCTTTTGTTCCAGTCATTGATCTTCCTAAAATATAGAGCAAAAATATTCTTGTTTTCTGCTTTCCTGTTGAAGCACTTCTGTTGATTTGTCTTTAAAATTCACCTTTCCCCCCCTGCACTAAATCATTTTATCCATAATCTTTAATGTTCATGGTTTAGTATAAGCAAATGCCCTAAATGGAATTTAATCATGTTTCCCAGGTGCCTGATTAAGAATTACTGTTTAAGCAAATGCTTCTTTAGGTGTTCCTGATACATGTGAAATTCATTTGGTATCTTAAATTATCACACTTTTAATTCATTCTAAAGAACACAAATATATTAGAGAAATATATCCTTAGGCATTTCTATATATGCAGACATAGTAAAGGTTAAAAATTGGCAGGGTGGAAAAAGTGAGGATATAGCTGGAGGTACAGATATACCAGTCTTGTGATAGAGGCTGTGGATTTGGGGCATCTGGGTTCAATTTCCATATGTCACAGGTTACTGTTTTGTCTCTGTTTTTTGTTTGTTTGTTTGTTTTTGTTTTGCTTGAATACTTTAGCCTTTTCTTCCTTTCTTTCATTCAGCTGTCTAGTCTGTAAACCCTCTAAAGCTGAGACTCTTTGCACAATGGGTTTGCCTTACACAATGGGTCTTTGATGTTCATTTTGTCCCTAGATATGACTGTAGAAAGCTGTGTACAATAACACAGTATCTTCTAGCTATCTTTTGGAAAGGATAAGCAAGGACCAGAAACGATTATTACCATTGGTGTATCTAGTTTGCACAAGTACTTGTTTTTTGCACTCCAGTCTTCAAGATGCATCTTTATAGGTAGCCATCCATCTTTCCCACAGTAAATGGGTAAGAGTTCAAGTTGAAAGTACGCATTACCAAAGCTGGAATTGCTCTTCAGACTATCAGCATCAAGGGGAAAAAGCCAAATGCCTGGCTGTGGTAGAAAGTGAGCAAATCCTAGTTTATCCACAAGTAAAGAACTAGATCATCTGAGGTAATTCTCTTCAATAGTTCTCACGCAAACTGCTCAGGTAAGATTGAGAAATTTAGTAGATGTCATTAATCAGCTGATGGCAGGCTAGAACTTGCATCTAAATAGCACATATTCTGCACTTATGTAACCAGCATGCCAGACATCACCTTCTCTATCTGCAAAGCTTTTGAATGTGATAATCATTTCATACATTTGGTTAATATTGTGTGTGCAGTCACGCTACACAGCTTGCAGTGTTAGATAATACATGATGCATGGAGTTTGTAGGAAAATATTTAGTTACCTGTTAAGCCATTTTTATGCTACTGTAAAAGAAAAGGGAAAAGAAAGCTGTCCTAGAAAGTTCATGGCTAACCTCTGCCTTCATTTATCCTTTAAACTGCTGCCTTCCTGGTTAGGAGAAAATTATTTTGCAAGAATCAGGTAGAGGTTTTAGAAATCTTTTGGTTTTCAAATTTATGTAACTTTTACAACTTAAGAAGTCTTCCCTATCATTCTGTCCTATAAACATATACTTTGTGGATGGTGATGTGTACATTACAAATAATTAATCCCAGCCAATGCTGCTTTGGTAGTTTTTACCAACATCAGAACATTTGTTAGTGACCATAATATTGGTCATATAAAAAGCTATACATATATATTAAAAGATTTTGTTGGCAGGACTAGAAGATGAATTATAATATTCAGTGTTGTATTTTACCATTATAGTGTTGAACAATTCTCTTTTTTAATAGCATACTCAATATGTAAAGGATGTCAGAAGATGGAAGCTGCAAGAACCTCTTTAAAAATATACTATTAGACAGATTTCTGCTCTGGATAATGAATAATCTATTTTTCATCAATCAAAACTAGCTACAGTTCATTTCCATATGGAGGAAGGATTCTATTTACTAAATGTTACAGCCATAGTCATGCTAAGATTTGAAATTAATCAAAGTCTGAAAGTTTGCATTGGCATAGCAGGTTGGCAGGTAGACATTTTACTTTCTCAGTTAAGTCAATTGCACTCTCATTTTGGATGAAGAGAACTTTAGGCCTTGACAGTGCTTTTGTTACTTCTTAATCTAGGCATAATTTAACACTTTAAAAACAGTAAATGGATCGAGTCAACCTTATTATTTTAGAGTGATATTTACCAGAAATTAAATAAATTGTCTCTGTTGAATAAAAATTCTAAGTTTTTATTGCTTAGTACTTGTCAGTTGTTTTTGAGAGGTATTTATTAGTTTTTTAACACAGTATTGAAGTAACGAGAAAAATGCTTGCTGAATAACTAGTCTGTTAATTTCAAACATTGCTGTTACAAAATAAAATAACATTAAACTATTCTCTGTCTGAGATTTGTATAACTGGGTAAATTTTAAGCATCACAATAATATTTCAGAGATCCAATTTGTGAATTACCTTGTCTTTTCAGGTGCATGTAATCAAAGACGTAGCAACCATGGCTCAGGAAAAGCTTGGTGTGTCCTGTGAAATAATTGATCTGAAGACTATTTTGCCTTGGGATACTGAGACTGTTTGCAAGGTAGGAAGATAATTCTTTTTAAAAACAACAAAGGAAGATATACCCGTGAACATGAACAGCAGTTTAATATTGAGAAAAATATGGCTGCACTATGCTGGTTGCAGGTGCATGATGGGAGAGCCCATGTAGTGCACTGAGGGAGCATCTGTGTAGCCTAGGGGGCCTATGGCTTGCCCTGGAGTGACTTACAGATATGTGGCCCCCCACTGATGAGAACCACAGGGCATTTGGCCGTCATCTGTTTTGAAACTGGACAGCCTTGGTTTAGCTAACAAAATAAAGTGCTTGAAAATCAATTTTTTCCCTCCATGTTTTTGGCTTTTCCCCATCCTCTTCTGGCATCCACAGTTCTGAGGAATTTACCTGAATAATATATTTTTAAATCTTATGATCTTTAAAATTTTTTGCTTGCACTTTTTGTTCTTGCCCAGAGGGCAGGACTGTGCATCTGGGGAGCCAGGAGCTAGGTTCCAGGTGCCCCACTTGGCAGGGGAGCTTATGTGGCAGCAAAAGTTCAATGTACCTTGGAGTGCAGAGGGGGAATCCACATGTTGTTGTATGGCTCAGAGGGGCCTGTGGCCCACACAGATGTGGCTCCACACTGCTAAGAAGTTGGAGCGCCCTGTAGAGGCTGTAGAGTATTAAGGAAAATGGACTTTTTTGGTACAAATTACAGTAGTTTTGTTTTTTCACTTAATTGTCCTTTTCTCTTTTGCTTTGAGGGTTGGCACGATGGACATGTGTTTTCTGTGCGTGTCTGAGTAGTGTTGAAAACATTAAGAATGAAAAAAAATAGGTTCTAAGGTGCCTCCCTACCCTACTTTCTGCTTGACTTCAGACTAACATGGTTAACCAACTCTTTCCACATGCTCTTAGCAGTCTCAGAAATTTTGTTTTTAGCTAAAACCTCATTCTCATATCAATCTGAAGGTGAACTTGTCTGGAAATTTTGGGCCACTTCCATTAATCTGTATTTTAAATATGCCCGTAAAGAAAGTACACACTACAAAATCATATAGTAACTGTTTCAACTGTAGAGGAAAGGGAGCCATCACAGGGAAGACTGGTTCTGGCCTATTGTGGTGGTGGTGGTCTTGATGAGCTTCTGTGAGCAGTCAGACTTTGGGAGTGCTGCAAAGCTTTAACTGATGCTGGCACTTTGCAATAATAAAAAAGGCAGTGGTCACATTCTCAAGACTGTTCAGGTGTCAAGCTGGAAAATAACATTTAAAAATTAGTTCTATAATTAGCAGGGTGGAAAAAAAATTAAATCTGGCCAACATTTTACTAACACTAATGTTTTTGCTATTAATACTGAATGGAAAATAGAGACAGATGAAAAACCACACAAAGGGAAAAATATTTGAAAAAATATTTTTACATGAACTTTTGTTCTTTGCTGTACTGGTGCAGCAGTTTTCTGTTTTTAAGGATGGGATTTTAAAAAAAATGTGTTTCTAAAAGTATTAATATAAAACTTCTACCTATAGTATTCTGTAGTACTGGGCTTCTCTACTTCCCACAGGCTACTGGTGGCCTGCTTAAAAATCTCAGTCTTTGATCTGTAGAGATTTTTTTTATGATTAAAAAAGCTTGTGATATCAGATGATTTAGCTATACTTTACGTTATTATTTAGTGTACATTTTGATATGCATATTTTCATAGCATCTGTATAATATGTGCTTGCATAATGTTACCTTAAATTGCCAATTGCTCAAATTAAGAGCGAGACCTTATAAAGGGAGATAAGGCAAAATGCCATGTTTATTGATTACATGAAGCAGATACATAAGCTTGGACACAGTAGTCATACAAACAGACATACACAAGCATACATACAAACAGACAAAACCACTCCAGTAAGATGTTATAGTTACCAACAGAAGTTACTCAATGTCAGCACTGGATGGCTGGGTCCAGGCTTATTGAGGATGATAGGAGCGGGGGAAGAACAGACGTGCCTGTGCTCCATGAGGTTGTAGAGAGTGGATTCTGCATCTCACTTTTATAGCGATTTCAAGTCTTTGTTCAGCATTGGGGTTTTTTCATGCTCAGTCTTTAATTAGAGGTAGTTTCTTCTGGTTAGCTCAACTTGAGGTAATTCCAGTAAAGTTGGTATCTCAGAGTTGTTCTTTCAATCTTGATCTCTGCCTTGAAGCATTGTGTAGTTCAAATGGCAGGATATGCAAAACTCCTTCTTCTTACTATCTTCTGTGCACCTGATCACAGACAAGTTCTTCAGCCATCCATTAATTAGCTTAATTAGTTTACCGTCTGGTAACATATGATGATGCCTTGTTGCTTACACAATCAATTAAATCTTCTTCTGTTTTCATGCAAATAGTTACCATTCTCTCACCATTCACCGTCTCACACAGACACTCACGTACACAGGGCATGCGGAGTTCATCTAATCATGTCAAGCAGAGAACAAGCACAAAATGGAGTTTTAGTTGTTCATAAATGACAGAGGTTTATCAATTCAATACTATTATCATTTAAGCATAATAAATATCTAAAAATTCATGCTACAATAATATAGCACTGGTGTAGCAATGGTTGGGTGAGAGAAGATAGTGTAGAAGGAGGTAGTTGTCTGTATTCGTCTGAAGTCAGGCAGGATTGATTTGTACCATTCAATCCTGGGAGGTTAACAGTTGGCAGTGGGGGGAAGGGTTGGCGAGTCTGCAGGCAGCAGTAGACATGTGTCCAGGGATGCAGGTTAGCAGGGAGATAAAAATTACCTAGTCAGAATGGGGGGAGGTAGGAAAAGAGTAGCCCCAGGTTTGGAGCAAGCAGCTCAGTGTTCCCAGCCCCAGGGCTGCTTCCTGGACCTTTATACAAGTTGGGTCAGATTGGAAATGGATTAGCCTGATCTACATAATGCACTTCCTTAGATCAGTGGTGCTCAACCTTTTGGTACAGTGGGCCAAATTAGTGACATGGAGCCCCGGGCCACCTCCCCTTAACCTGCTGCCACCTCCCTTCATCCCACTGCCTCCTGGGACCCTGCACCACCTCCCTTGGCCCCACACTGCTGTCTCCTGCCAGCTTTTGTGTGCCCGGATTGGGCTCCAGGACACAGATGCATGCTGATCCAGCATGTTATCCAGCCTATGGGGCTCCCCACAGGTCCAGAAATCTGGCAGCTGGGGAGCGGCAAATTTTCAGACCCATGGGGATTCCTGCAGCCCAGATGGCATGGCTCTACAGGCTGGATCTGGCCTGTGAGCTGGAACTTGGGCATCCCTCCTTAGGTGAATTTAGATTAAGCCAACTTGTTTTTCCCAATCTAAACTCCCTGAACATATGTATAGTTCAGCTGCTCAACCTAACTGCACTTAGAACAACCTAACTACAGTTACTAAGTGTAGCATCTGTACATTCACCTAGTATTGTGGGAAATCTGTATTTCCATTAGGAAACAGGGTATTATGATTTCATCTAAGCTATGAAGTTCAGATGTAGCGGGGCTGGAGTTCACTGTAGTGAAAACATGTTTGTGCTTAGAATGCACTAGAACACTTCACTTGTCACTTGATGTGAATAGATTCATGAATTTGGATTCATAGATTCGGCCACTGAATTGGGCTGAATCTCTGCTGAATCGAATCAGGTACTGAAGCTTCGCACAGCCCCACTGGATACATAACTAATTGGATCACTGTGCTCAGTGAATAGCCATCCATGCCTCAGGCTAGTTGGGACATCAAGTGACGTTCCTTATGGGTCTGCCCTGGTACTGGTGTTTAAAGGGTATTTATACACATACTTTTTTGTCCTGCAATGCACTGGAGATCTTCCACTTTGGAGGAAACTTGATTATAGATTGATTCATAGAAATCCAAGGCTGGAAGGGACCTTGGAAGATCACCAGGTCCAGCCCCCTGCACCAGGCGGGAAAGACAACTGGGGTCAGGTGGCCCCAGCAAGGTGACTGTCCATGCTTCTCTTGAAGATATCCAGGGTAGGCGATTGCGTGACCTCTGGACAGAGCCTATTCCAGAGTCTAGACACCCTGGCTGTGAAGAAGTTTTTCCTAATGTTAAGCCTGAAATGGTTTTCCGGGAATTTACGGCCATTACTCCGGGTTATCCCTAAGGGTGCCCCGGTGAAAGTTTGTTTAACAAGCTCTCAATGTATGCCCCTTTATGTAGTGTTAAGCCGCTATCAAGTCCCCCCGTCTTCTCTTTTTCAGGCTGAAGAGTCCCAGGTCCCTCAGCCTAACCTCGTATGGCTTGCCGTGCAAGTCTCTGATCATATGGGTGGCCATTCTCTTGACTCTTTTGAGCTTTACCACGTCCTTGTTGTAGTGTGGCGCCCAGTACGGGACACAGTACTCCAGCTGTGGTCTCACCAATTCTGGGTAGAGCAGAAGAATCACTTCCCTAGTTTTGCTGGAGATGCATCAATTGATGCATACCAGGGTATTATTTGTGCTGTTGGTTAGACTATCACACTGCCAGCTCATATTCATGCTGTGGTCTATTATTACCCCCAGGTCCCTTTCATTTGTGGTGCTGGTCAGCTTGATGTTGCCAAGCCTGTAGGTGTGTAGAAGGTTTTCATCCCCCAGATGGAGCACTTTACATTTCTCAACGTTGAACTTCATTTGATTCCAATCCGCCCAACTTGCTAGCCTGTTTATGTCCACCTGTATCTGCAGTCTATCTTCAAGCGTGACCACACTTCCCCACAATTTGGTGTCATCTGTGAATTTGGCCAGTGAGCTCTTCACCCCTGCATCTAAACGAAGTTTAGTGTTTGTTTGCAGAGTGCTTTGTCTAACTTGTTCACATCTTTTCCTGATGTGAACAGTTTAAATGAAAGGTGCTGAGTTGTAGCTGTCAATATAAATGGGAGGATTGGCTGCAGCTTCTGTTTCTCTGTGCCTTTTAATATAGCCCTCATAAATCCCTTGCTGTCCATCCTAGGATGTAAAGTTCATCTGTTTCTGAACCAAGTCATTTTCCTCTTTAAAGGCTTTAGCTGTCACACT